TCTGAAATGGATTTCTTATCTTTTTTTAAGTCCAATTTTAAAAAGACAGCTTTATAGTAGCTGGTGGGAGGACAGACGGGATGTGTGGTTAAGAACTATAAATGCATGTGAAGCAATGCTTTGACTCAAGGTCACTGGCCTGATCTGAGAACACTTAAATTGTAATCAAGGCCACTCATTGAACCATGAGTAATTTTAGGCAAGTTTCCCGGGTGTGTGCTGACGTAACCAAAGAACCTCATCCTACTTGACCAGCATGGAAATCAGCAGTTAGGTTGAAATATTTGAAGGTTGCTGTCCAAAGGAGAGGCTTTTTACCATTTTCTGAGTGTACTAGCTTCTTATATTGATTGTCTTTCTTCATTTTCATAAGCACTATTCAGCTACAAGTAGAATTTAATTTTCCTCCCATCTTTCATGGTGAGTGAGGGAGATGATCTTCATCCAAGTGGCTCTACCTTAATAGAAGATGGACATCATTCTCCAACCAGAAAACACCATTAAATTGCTTCTATACATAGTGGAACAGGTAACCTTCTGAACTGCAGGAAAAAGACCAGCCACAAAATTTCCTTTAAAGAAAGCTTGACATTGAAGCTCAAAAAGAAATTGCAAGGCATTTTAATAGATTTGCATTTAGGTACATGTTTTGGGGACCATGAAGACAAAAACAAAGTATACTTCTTTACAATAGACTAGAGGTTTGTGAAAGAAGATCTTGTAGCAGTTCTTACTGTTAAGATAACCAGGCTGAATATGACACACCAAACAGTGTTCCCTCGGCTACCCTGATTCACACTGTGAGCTTCATCATCCAACATCTACTTATGAAAATACCAAATTAGGAAGAGAGTCTCTCATAGCTTTCAGAAAACCTATAAGCTGTTATTAGCAGAAGGAATTTAATAGCAAAAAGAAAAGCAAGAAGTAAGAGTTCCCAAGATGAACCAGCTGACAGGTTGAGAAATTAAACTAAGTCCTTATGTCAGGGGGACTTGGGTCCGTGATAGCCCTGAAAGATCAAGCATCCAGGGTTCAATTTCTGCAAATACTTTGCTGGCAGGTGGTGCCAACATGGAATCTGACTGCCAAAGGATATTTGGATCTGCCCTGCATCTGGGAGGATTACAGAGGGAACTTTGGTCTTGGAGACAATATGTTCGTATCACACCTGCTTTCAGCTCTACAGGCAACAGTGGAGGCCAAAGGAGGAGCCATTTTGGAGCCATAGGAACCTTGGATTCAACCTCTAATTTGCAAAGTGCATCTGCTTTATAGACCCGTTTGACAGCAGTTTCATAATTAGAAAAACATGCCTTATATTTTCACACTTCCCAATCCATAAAAAAAATCTGGCTTTATTTTTAAAATGCTGATTACATGACAGGGGAAAACCTTAATTTCAGGGGAACACACTCGACTAAGAAAAATGATTTGGAAGCAGGGTAACAAAATTTCTCTGGTAGCAGGGAAATCATGAGGTGTGATAAGTGGATTTATCAAACAATTGTGCCCAAGATGCCCCATTCTACACACTGGCTCTATCTGGGGTTCTGCATTCAGTGTTACTTAAGGTTACCAGAGCAGTTTTAGCATATGTGGGACTTAGGATTTTTGGGAGAGAGCTTATCATTTGGAACTCTTTAATTGTTTGCGATTAAACACCCAATTCAAAGAAAAGCCTTAAAATTAGCTATTTCAAAAGTCTTTTTTTTTTTTTTTAATTTTTTTTTTTCAACATTTATTTATTTTTCGGACAGAGAGAGACAGAGCATGAACGGGGGAGGGCAGAGAGATAGGGAAACACAGAATCGGAAACAGGCTCCAGGCTCTGAGCCACCAGCCCAGAGCCTGACGTGGGGCTCGAACTCACGGACCGCGAGATCGTGACCTGGCTGAAGTCGGACGCTCAACCGACTGCGCCACCCAGGCGCCCCTCAAAAGTCTTTTTTAGGAGAGAAGATATGCTACAGGTTTACACAGAAGTCAGAATTTTAAGGAGATTTAAGGCTCAGTGATTTGTTCCCAATGGAATGAGAAGTTGCTTTGATGATGATGAGCAGGAGGAGGAGGAGGAGGAGGAGGAGGAGGAGGAGGAGGAGGAGGAAGAGGAGGAGGAGGAAGAGGAAGAGGAGGAGGAGGAAGAGGAGGAGGAGGAAGAGGAGGAGGAGGGAGGGGAGGAGTCAGGCACTGTGCTAAGTGTGTTATATGAATTATCTCAGCTACTACGCCCAGCGGTTCCATGAAGTAGATTCCACTATAATTCCCATTTAACAGATTAGAGAACTGAAGCATGCATGGTATACAGCCTCTTAAGGTCACTCATTTATTAAATTCGAGAAGTGGGCCTGGAACCTAGACAGCTGGTTCCAGCATCTCTAATCTTTAATAGGACACTAGCCTGCCATCTTACAGAATTTCTCCATGGACCATAATTGCCAGTTTCCTTGCCCTGGGTAAAGCACAATATTAAGTGCATTTAACCTTCACAATAATTGACATAATATTCTCTATATTATATAGGAGTTAAATCTGTGGACAAAACTAAATAGGGATGCATAGCAATCCTGATCGATTGACAACAGACTAAATGAGGAAAACAAAGGGCATTAAAATGTTTTTCCAATTGAAACCATATGAATTGATACATCTGGCAGAAACACAGATGGGGAAAAAAAGACAAAAGAAGGGTGAAACTACATAAGAGGGTAGATAAGAACAGAACCAGGCATTCAACTATAGATTTAAGCCCCTTGTTTGGGGACGCTATGTCCCTGAGTCTGAACTGAGCAACCTCCCCTAGTCTTTCAGTGTATCTCAAAGCTCCCCCAAATTCTACATTCTCCCAAAAGCCTCACTGGAGCTTTGGTAGTACTTTTTCCGAGTTTCCTGATACCCATTTGAGTACAGGTTTATAAACCACATGGTGTACTAAGCATGGTCTCTTCTTCCTAATAAAACTAATGACATAGTGAGTCCAAATAAAGTCCACACACTTGTTACCTAACTTGTTTATTTACTGGCAAGTACTGGTTAAAGAAAATGATATATTCTAACTTCTAAACTTAAAAAAGGGTACATCAGCAAATATGTTGGCCTTTGAAAATAACTCTTAATTTTCCAGAAGGTTTTGTTTTATGTTCCACTAAAGACGAGATTCTCAATGTACTTGAACCACTATTTTAGTATTTTATTAAAATTGAATTTATTTGTAACTTTTCAGAAATACACTTTCACTGTGTACTTTTTCTTCCCCTTAAGAGGGGAAAGATTCCTTAATCTAAAAGCAACAGCTCTTCCCTTTCCATCCTTACTTTTACAAAGGGGAATAAATCTCTGTCACATCAAACATTTAATGAATGTCATATCCAAATAAAACAGAAGACTAGGAAGTAATCACAAATTTATATTTTTGTATAATCACATTACTATTTTAAAACATCCCTTTTGCTATGATTTAATCTATTTTACAATATCTTTTATAGTTATTATATTCCATTTTTATTCTTGATTACCTGTTATATATATATATTTATTTAATTTAAAAAGTATCTGTTCATAAAACTTATCTTGCAAGTAAATTTGGATATTCAATTCATCTATTACAAGTAGTACATGGGGCGCTTGGGTGGCTCTGTCGGTTAAGCATCCGATTCTTGATTTTGGCTCATCTCATGACCTCACGTTTGGTGAGATGGAGGCCGAGCCCCACATCGGGCTCGGGGCTGACAGCCTGGAGCCTGCTTGGGGTTCTCTCTCTCCCTCTCTCTCTGCCCCTCCCCCACTTGCACACTTTCTCTCTCTCTCGCTCTTAAATAAATAAACTTAAAAAACAAAAGTAGTACAGAATTAATTCTGCAGATGGAGGACTCCAGTGAATCCTTTTCGGCAGTGAGCAACTATTATATATGCCAACAGTTGGTAAAACTAAGCTGATTGCTTTGAAAATGAAGACTGTTGTTTTTTGGTTTTCTTAAAATAAAACATATTTGTAAGAGAATGAAATAAGATGCCTCATTTTCTCATCCCTAAGGAAGAGAAAGTAAAGCACTTGAGGACTAGTTTCTAAAGTATTTTATGACTGTCCCTTACAAAATACTCCTGAGGTCACCTGCTAGGTGCCTCATAACCACTCACCATCCGAGTCTAAATGATAACAGCAAAATTGATCACCATGTAATATTTCTAATAATCACAGATATCAAGATATGATCCTCCATTGTTTATTTATAGCTGGAAATACAATCAGAAAATGAAAACAAAACAGAATGATAAGAAATGGAAGTCCAGGGACTACAAAAAGATAATCAGATTGTTAAGTCTCTGTAATGTTCTGTAGGAGGCCAGTGAAATTTTTGCCAGAGTTTCAAAGCCCATATTTTAAGACTTTCATACTGTATCTAAAATGCGTTAAACACTAGCAGGATTCTCAATGGAGAAGTAAAAGAAATTATCAGTAGGTAAACCCTCTGGAACAATGACATCAGTTCTGATAATGGGTTGGCACGACACTGCTTAAGATTCCTACAAAAGCACTGTACGGCTGATTTAGTTGCTTTTGTTTTTCACAAGGTAAATTTTTGTTTTCAAAAGTCTCCTAAAAAATCACATAATTTATAAAAGTATCACCTTATCACAGGTTATTTTAACTGTGAAGCACACAAATGTCACCTTACAGAGGAAAAAGCCCATGGTGGGGGCATCGTAGGGGACCCAAATTCTCAGCTACTAATGTGTAGCACTTAGCACTGTCCTTCTACATGTATTTTTTATTCGCATTTTCTCATTCATTTACTGAGGGGGGGGTAGGGACAGAGGGAGGGAGGGGAAGAGAGAGAGAGAGAGAGAGAGAGAGAGAGAGAGAGAGAGAGAGAATCCCAAGCAGACTCCATGCTCAGCACAGAGCCCTATGCAGGGCTCAATCCTATGACCCTGGGATCATGGCCTGAGCCAAAATCAAGAGTTGGATGCTCTACCGACTGAGCCACCCTGGCGCCACCCCCCTTTTCTAGAGTCCTTCTACATTTCCGAACCTCCAACCACATATTCCTTTTGCTTCCTTCACCTTCTCCTCTTTACATATCGCTCAACACCGCCACTCAACACTGCCAACCTTTATCCTTTCTATTTGTCAGTTTTACCCATTTCTTTTGAGTTTCACAATGATTGATTACCTTACTCCAGCATGGACCCCCTCACCACCTCATGTATATTTTTAGACTAGAAGCTCTATTCTGGTCTCTCCTATGACAGTTTCTTTCCCTCTTTTCATCCTATTATCCAGTTGCTTTAACAACCTGCCTCTACCATGTCACCTAAACTAAAAACACAAATCTCACCTGTTTTGGTCTAGGGTTCAAACCTCTTCCCCTTCTGAGTCTGCTTCCTTCTTCCAAGCTCATGTCGTATATATGAAACACGAACTTCGTTTTCTCTTTCTCTAGGTCAGCGCGTCTGCTCTTTATCCCTTACATGTGAAGTGCCTTCATACTTCCTTCTTTCACCATTTCACATCTGCATACTTGCCTTCCAGAGCTCCCAAGTTGTATCAACCCAAGGCTAACCAAGTCTTTAACCACCTACTCAGGTAATACCCTATTTATTTGTGCATGTTTATAGGCAATCATAAATGTCTTCAGTGACTGTGTGATTTTTCTAAAGAGACTGTAAACTCCTGAAGGTCAAGGCTGGAATCTAAAACTATTGTAATTATATCAAAACGCGCTGCCAAATTATTTGCAGATAGAATTTAATTTGAACGACCCCTCAATCTGGGTATGTTTCACGATGCTCTAAAATCTCTGGGTATATAACAAGGACAGGTTATTGCATCAAAAGATTTCCTTCTGTTGGCTAGAAGTTTATACAGGACTCAGCTCTTGTCCTATGAGTTTTCTTCCTTAGAAATGGGAATTAAATATTAAAATAGTGGAGCTAAAGTACGTGTACCCTGAGTTCTTTTAAATTATTAACCTGAGGGGCGCCTGGGTGGCGCAGTCGGTTAAGCGTCCGGCTTCAGCCAGGTCACAATCTCACGGTCCGTGAGTTCGAGCCCCGCGTCGGGCTCTGGGCTGATGGCTCAGAGCCTGGAGCCTGTTTCCGATTCTGTGTCTCCCTCTCTCTCTGCCCCTCCCCCGTTCATGCTCTGTCTCTCTCTGTCCCAAAAATAAATAAACGTTGAAAAAAAAAATTATTAACCTGAGTTTTAAGCAGATTTTGAAAACTTTGAAATGTGAAAAATGTCTCTCTATAGCTCTCCCTTATCACTGTTGACCCATTTTTATACACTTCTCTTTATGAAGAGGGTTGACAATTTTTTTTTCTGCTGTGGACACTTTGGAGAGTCTGGTGAAGTCCACATACATTTTTTTCTTATAATAATGTCTTTAAATGCATAAAATGTTAGAATTACAAAGGAAACCAATTATACTGAAATTCTATTATTAAAATATTTTAAAATCAATTATACTGAAACCAATTATACTGGAATTCTGTTATTAAAATATTTTAAAATCCTCTAAATATGTGATAGAATAATATATGTGCTTTTTTATTAATGTGTTTAATAACAACATCTAGTGTTGGGTTTAGTAATTACAGAAACTGTCGAGTAGTGATATTCTAAGGTATCTACAAGAGTGGTAATGGGATATGAATATATATACAATGTCTACTGATAACAAATGCAAGTACTACTCACAGTACTGTCGTTTGTAGTCTACATTCATAACAGAAAGAACTGCTAAATTTCAGTTAGAGATTAGTAAAATTAAAGTGATTTTATTTTTATTTTTATTTAAAAAAAATTTTTTTTTTCAACGTTTATTTATTTTTGGGACAGAGAGAGACAGAGCATGAACGGGGGAGGGGCAGAGAGAGAGGGAGACACAGAATCGGAAACAGGCTCCAGGCTCCGAGCCATCAGCCCAGAGCCTGACGCGGGGCTCGAACTCACGGAGTGCGAGATCGTGACCTGGCTGAAGTCAGACGCTTAACCGACTGCGCCACCCAGGCGCCCCTAAAATTAAAGTGATTTTTTCCCCCATTCAAATTCACCAACTCTCAAGTCTATCTACAGACTCCACGTTGGTCTTTGGACCCAAAGTGAAGACCTTTTGAACTATGAAGAGGTTAACCTTACGTATTTTATAACTAGTTTCAACTATGGCACAGCTGTGTGGAGTAAATATAATTTCTTCAACTTCAATCTGATACTCTTCTTAAATCACTATTACTTAGGTTTTCAAAATGCTATTTGACATCTGCCCTTTTCCTTTCTGACTACACATGTATAGTCTCTTAAAATCTTCAAGTTTCTCTTAAAACTGGGTAGTGTTCTCCTTCCCAGTAAGACCTAACACAGATTGGGAGGGAGAAAAAAAAAAGGATTATTTTCTCCACTGTGGGAGTTGCAGGTCTGCACAATGCCTAAACATTCACTAGATAAGGTATTAATAATTGATATACCATTAGCTCATCTTTTTCCTTCATAGGTCAACTCTTAGGGGATTACTGTTTGCTGAAAGATATTGCATATCTTTATTAAAATACCACTAAGCACGGATACTTACATATAGCAAAGGACAATTTTATGGTCACCTGTATGTTTCCTTTCTTATTTTGAGGCACGGTAGACAATGTCTTAGCCTCCCCACTCTCAGGTTGCAACTCTGTTGCCCTAAACCAGATACTTTGCAGATATGATGGGAACCCCGAACAGGGTAGGTTTACTTGAGTGAATGCTTGCTATCATACTGGCCATACAAGGCATGACTCTTAACTCGTTCTTTCTCTGTCCTTAGACAAAACTGAAAAGAATGTCTTACAATTATACAATGTTAGAACCTAGAACCCTCCAACCCCTAAGAGTAGCCTGGATGGAGAGATCCATTGTTAATTTTCATCCTCTCAACTCACATAAATAAATGAGGTGGTAGAAGGCTATGGCTTTCTGTAGTGCTTAGGGCCCATCCAAGGTTCAGTACGGGATTTTTCTTGTCCATTTTAATAACAGTGCTGACAATGGCAGGTCACATGCTATCCCCTAGCACTAAAAAACAGTATCGAAAACTTTAAATATCTAGCACTAAGGGAAGCTTTGAGGTAAGGAAAAGTATTTATTTTCTAACTAAAATAAACTCGTTCATTTAGATGCCTTTATCATTTCAGATGTTTTATGGTCTCCGTGTGCTTTTTTACAGAACTTTTTCTGAAGTTGCGATTTAAGACAAAGATGCCCTCATTAGTTATAGGAACTAAAGCCTGCTTTGTTTTTCTGTCAGGTGAAACATTATCTTAATATCCACTGTGAAGTTTGCATTTCTTTCTGAGAAGAATCTTCGAAACTTAAAAGGTGCTGTACAGAAGTAGACAAATACATAAAAAAGACACACGATGATTTCAGAGAGCAAGAGTTGGGGTAAAACAACTCTTTAGATGGTGTAGATTGTTACTCTGTCCTTTCCAGAATGAACACAAAACTAGAATAGAAGCACAAGACAGAGCCGGTCACAGACATGGATAATATTGGGATAATTATCCCACAGATAATGGGATAATAATATTATGTTGTGCAGACTCCAGGAATGCCACGGGGTCCTGTGGAAATGCTACAGCAACATGAGACCAGCACGGCCACTCTACACATCAGTCTCCCAGGCATGTGCATTCGGTAAGAGCTATGGAACATTTGAGCAATCATCTATTCAAAGTTAGACAAGACACTATGAAACTTCTTGGAAAACAAGAGAATGCCATTTCTCCTTCAACTTATCATGTTTTTTTAAAAGACAAAACGTAGTGCTAGCAAGGGTTTGAAGAAATGGACTATCAAATACAGTGCTGGGAGAAAGTCAATTAGTACTATATATTTTTTTAATTTAAAAAATGTTTATTTATATATTTTTGAGAGACGGAGAGTGAGTTGGGGAGGGGCGGGGGGGGGGGAGACAGAGAATCCCAAGCAGGCTCCACATTGCCAGTGCAGAGCCCATGTGGGACTAGAACTCAAGAACCGTGAGATCACGACCGAGCCAAAGTCAAGAGTCATACGCTTAACCCCCCAGGTGCCCCAGTACCATCTTTCTTGAAGTCAATTGGGCCAAATGTATAAAAATCTCTTTAGACATATTATCCTTTTGACTGAATTTCTGGAAATTTATCCAGACAACATAATAATAGGAACACATGTAAAAATTTCCCTGCAAAGACATTTAAAAGATATAGTTTGCAGTGGTACAAAATTGGAAATGACCTAAATGTTCAATAGTAACAGCCTAGTTAAATAAATTATGTCATATTTTTAGAAAAGAAATACTATGCAGCCAATACTTGGTAAGTGAAGTTATCAACAATGAAAAAAACTCTATATTTTAAATTGTCAAAGAGTCACAGCAGTAACAAATACAAGAAATATGTAAATATAAATCCATAAAGAGGTATCTGAGAAGACACACATCAAAATGTTTATACTCTATTCTTCTGAATGGATGTGATATTATCTCTTATTAGTCTATACTATTTGATTTTTTGTTCTGTGTTACTTTTGTAATTAAGAAATCTGTTTTAATTAAAAGACTTTTCAGGGTATAAATTCACATGTGCACATGTAAATTCTAACACAAATTTTTACTTCACTAAAATGAGAGCAGTCCCCTCTGTACCTCTGAAATATTAGCTTTATTCAACACCTTTGGCTAGGACTCAGAAGTGAAGGGAATAACACATTTTTCTTTATTCTGACATGCATTTCCATTAATTACGTGCTTTCTCTTGTGTTCATCAACAGTAAACTTCAGGGTAAGTTTTTCCTACCAATTTTAAACAGTTCTGCATGGCCAATTTTCAGGTCTGTCAAGAAAAGCCAAGACTAATATCCCAGTGTCATGTTTATAGCCATCTGTGTAGAAACAAAATCAGGTTTGGACAGCTTTTATCTTGCTAAGGTTCACATATTTTGATGTGTGGATGAATCCTTGGGTTTAGAAGCATAAATGGATCACCATGTTTGGCAGGGGGAGGGAATGGACAGCTACTTCAAAACCAGCTCTTCCAAGTACTGACAGAAAGTAATTAAAACAACATGAGCCATTTTGCGGGGGGGGGGAATAAAACCAACAAAATTAAACAAAGCATAGTTAGTTCTAGGCCAGAGTTGGGGCTTCCAGCAGATATGAATAAGAATGAGATTTTTTCCAAGAAAACTTAGAGTGAGCCGAGCCATTTTGTTTTATAGTCAGGAAGATGATGGCCTCAGTTGCAAGGAAATGAGGCAGCAGGCAGCCACACCTGGTTCTGTACTGCCCTGCGGGGACTGAGGGTAACTACCCTGGCTGGAAGTCTGCAGGCTGGGGTAAAGGAGATGCAAAAGGCTCCCCAGCATTCAAAGCCCACAGGTCACTGTCAGGCCTTTCAAACACATCTGCCATCTGGCCTCTCTCGGTTCCCCTGTAATTATTTCCCTTCCCCCTTCCTGCCCTGGAGTCATCTTAGAAGGAAATTATTAAGCATCGGATTAGGTTCACAGCAAACAATGGTTTTTTTTTATCTGACATGTCTGAGATACCAGCTTTCACATCACACCTTTGGCAGCTTCTTCCCTTTACCCAATGGATCAAGAAGGGATTGGTGGCTCTAAAACCTCCACTCAGGAAGCCTGCTCCCATGGCCTCTAACTGGCTTGACTATAAGCCCTGTTAGCACTTACCTAGTTTGCCTCATGGCCAACTCCCAGAACACTTAAAATACATTAAAAAGCTATCACTAAGCATAGCACGTGGGTTTATACACATTGCAGCTGTAGCTTTAAGACCATCAAGTACAAAAGATTTAGTCTTTTATGACCGACAAAAGGGATTTTAGTAAAAGAGCTGGTCTACGAAGCACAAAAAACAGAACATCAAATTAATTATGAAAGCCTGAACTACAACGGAAGAGCTTTGTAGGAGATCCATACGGTAAATCTACAGGATAGCAAACATCCAGATGTTTTGAAACATCTGTATTACTGCTTGAACTTTTCCATTTTTCCTTGATGTTTGGCATCATGGAGACACAACAAGAGCTTTATTGCCAACTTTGGCAGCTTTCAAAAAAAAAAAAAATCAAGGTACGTATTTTATTACATTAGTTATTTTTTTAACTTCTAGATTGAGGCTGACTTCTTTATCTTTTTATTCCCCATAGTGCCACTGAGTAGATGTCTAATATATATTGGTTGAATGAGGGGGAAAAAGATGACTCATAATTAAATGTACAACCAAATAGGGACACTATTTCTGAGTAAGACAATTCCATTATTAGTAATAGCAGATCTATGAACTCAGGAGTACATTTATTCTGAATCTTTCATTCTATGCATCTATATTCCATCAATCTTTATCATCTCTCATTATAATATATAGAGAGCTTGAGTAATTATTCTTGTTTTACAGGTGAAAATACCAAGGAACTGAGATATGAAATCTGTCAAGTCACATAGTGAGATCCTATAGATCATTCAACTGCCCAGCCCAAATCATCCAATAAAATATGATGTTTCTCTGATTGCAAAGGTTTATTATTTGAATCCAAAGGAGATTTATTTTTGTATTTGTTTATTCACTTTGGTATGAGGTCTGATTACTGAGATGTGTAAATAAGAGGACTTACATTCAAGATACATCCTGGGATTCATTTTCCCCATAAAGCCTGCCCAAACACCCTTACTTTTTCATCAGAGAGGTTAGAGCTCTTCAACTGGTACTGGTTACTCTGGATAAAATAGGAATGATGTGTGTGTGGGGGGGAGGGGGTACCTGGGTGGCTCAGTTGGATAAGAATCTGACTTCAGCTCAGGTCACGATCCAAGTGCTGTGTTGGGCTCTGTATTGATAGCTCAGAGCCTGGAGCCTGCTTCAGATTCTATGTCTCCCTCTCTCTCTGCCCCTCCCCCACTCATGCTCTCTCTCTCTCTCTCTCTCTCTCTCTCTCTCTCTCTCTCTCTCTCAAAAATAAAAATTAAAATGGGAATGATGAAATCTATCTCATGAAGCTATTGTTGATAGGGTCTACCTCATATCATTGTTGTATTAACTGAGAAGTCACACATTTAGTATAGTTTCTGGAATATACATTTGCTTGAACAGATATAATTTGCTGCTGTTGTTAATGCTACTGCTGCTAACACTGAGCTTGGTGCATAGTCTGTTCTTGATAAATATAAATTCATTCCCATTTCCTGCTATGTCAACACCGATAATATTTGAACTCCATTATTTGAATGTGTTGTTCTGAGAGGAAAGGTAACTCTGTTTTTTTTTTTCCCCTGGTTTGATTAGATGATGAGTCAGTTGGCCCATCAAACCAGTCTTCCTAAACTACAAGTGATCCTAGTCATGCCTCCCCTCAGTCCGTTAATGTGGAAGATTGAAACAAAGTTCAGAATGGACTATCTCATTAAAACTCCCCTGAATGCAGGATTATTCATATGAGGAAAATACTCTGTGGAAGTTGGAGGATATTCATCCAGTCAGTCAGTCAGTCAGTCAGTCAGTCAATAACTATTCAGTGCCCTTGATAAATGCAGGACAGATTACCAGGCCCATTAGCCAAACCTCTGAGTGAGCAGCGGATGGCTAGCAGTAGTTCATCCGATTCATGATGGGAGGAGGAGGTGAAGGAAGAGTGAGTTTAGAATTCTCAAAATAGCAAAGAGAGCTGTGGGCAGTAATTTCTTTTAGAAATAACTAGAAAGAACACGCTGACCCAACAGGCTGTCGAAGGCCCAGAAGTGAATTTCAAACTCCATGTAGTATGTTTAAAATAGGCACAAAGCTGAGAGATACTGCACCAGAGATCAAAGAAGGGTTGTGTGTGGCCACAAAGGTCCTTTTATTTGCTTTTGGAATTGAGGGAAGGATTTATTCACTGATTCTCCTTATACGGGTCTGTGCATGTGCAGGCTCGGAATTTTAAACTGTCCTAAGGGCTATGGCTCAAGATCTCCACAAACATTCTCGTTCAACAACGTTTTAATTTCCTCTATCTCCCTCAAAGAGCAAAGCTCTTTGGGGGCTGGACTGTTGGTGGCCTGACAGCATTTGCTACATCAGGATAGAGGAAAGAGAGACCATGCCATACTCAGTATGGCTTCCCCTCCCTAGCAGGAGAGTAAAAAGTCTCAGTGTTGCTTGGGTACCTCTGACAGGAAAGGAAGTGGGAAGTCAGAGGTGAAGCCACTTACTAGCTCTATGACCTTGGCCATTCACTAGGGGTAGTTTTAGTTCCTGCATCTGTCAAATGGGCATAAAAGCCTCATGCTTAGCCTTACATGATGACCATGACCATCCAATGAAACGTTCAGGAATGTGTTCTGAAACCTCCCCCTCTTTCTGCAGACTGAAGGGTCTGTCATGGTCTGCATCTGGCCACGAAGAATAAATCCAGTGCAAAAAATACACACTATGCCTCTCAAACCTCAGGAAGCAGAGAGCAAGAGATTTGGGAAGAATGGATTGATATTTTTTATACTGGTAACCTGAAGAGATAGGAGTAATTCCCAATGCAACTCTTTGTAAAAGTAACAGGCATCAAAGGTGTCAGAAAAAAAATACTGAGCCTTTGTTTATCATCAGGGAACTGCTTTCCTGTGGTTGTGCTGTATTTTTTTGTTGAAGAACACCTTTTCCAAAATGTTACTTGGTGCCAGGCTAAATCTCAATGTACCGACCACAAGTTTCAGCGGCTACTGGATCTTGACTCCCATTTCGACCAGTAAATCTTCACCTCATGGCTTTGGTCTTGTAAATCAAAGGGCTTAGGCTCGGCTGACCCTTTTTTTTTTTTTGAAATGGAAGTTTAATTTGAAACTTGCTTTCCCTCAACCCATTTGGCCATCTGCTCTCACATCTCTGAAAAAGGGAGAGACTCAGAAGGGGCGGAGCTAAAGTTTCATTTTTGGGCTGCCATTCCTCCGAGTGCCTGCTCTCTGCTGTTTATCAACATGCTACAGTTATGCAAGTGACGCCAGGTGAAAGACACTTGAGGATCAGGTAGGATGCTCACCAGTGGCAGGAGATGCTGAATGCTGTGGTTCACTCTGGATTTGTATTAGAAGAGGACATTTTATTTTTTTATTTTTTATTTTTAAAAAATTTTTTTTTCAACATTTATTTATTTTTGGGACAGAGGGAGACAGAGCATGAACGGGCAAGGGGCAGAGAGAGAGGGAGATGCAGAATCGGAAACAGGCTCCAGGCTCCGAGCCATCAGCCCAGAGCCCGACGCGGGGCTCGAACTCACGGAGCGCGAGATCGTGACCTGGCTGAAGTCGGATGCTTAACCGACTGCGCCACCCAGGCGCCCCAGAAGAGGACATTTTAAAGTGGCCCCTTCTGATCATGTTAAACAAAAATAGAGGTGAATGAAGGTGAACATCTGAGACTTGGACTACGCTCCTGTAGGCAGGGATATTTCAATTTTTTGTTTTATTTATTGAGATCTCCCTCCCCTTTACTTAATGTACGGAGCCAAGTTATTTTGCACTGCCACCAAGCAGGAGCTTTTTAAATGATTCAGGGAAGTATAGCTTTCATTTAGGCTTGTGCCCTCCAGTCTGTTTATACTGGTCGATACACTTGTCTGAAAAATATAATGGATTAGCACATCATTCAACAAGCTAGTCAGAAGGCAAGCTCAAGGCGACAGACACCAAAAAGTAAATTACAGTCAGTTGTAGGGGTAGGCCATGCCTAGAGCTGGGAAACATCGTATCAGCACAAAACCTGTATTCTCCCAGAATGGTGGCAGAACTGAAAGGGATGAAAAATTTACACTCAAATATAATAAAACAATCAGCTCTACAAATTCATATGGTACCATAAACTGTGGTTTATGACACTGAAGGCAAGGGAAACTGGCTCTCACGACCACCCCACACATTATAACCTCAGCTGGAAACAGACACGGATGGCATTTGTTTCATTTAATAGGCCCACTTTTGCAAGCAGGCATATATCATGGCTTACTTTATACGTTCCATTTAGATATTTGTAAGATGCCAATTGTCGTCGGTTTGTACTCGGCAAACCAAGGGTTAAGGTGGGCTGTAAGGAGCTGGTGGGGGGGACTAACAATAATTTATTCTTTCTTAGCTTCCCCTCTCTCTCTCTCCACTCCCTTTCCTTATTTCCTTTATTCTATTCTCGTTCTGAAGAAACAAAAAGCAGGATTGAGACTCTTTCTCCAGATCTTGAATTTATATTTTCTGTATCACCTACTCTGAGGTGAACCAAATCATCACTCCGGTAGACATAAGAAGTCTACTTATACTTATTAAACAGCTGTCTATTTAATAACCAGTGACAATTAAACAGAACAGTTAGAAAGGCTTCTTTTTCCACCATGAAATAAACTCCAAACAACAAAACAAACAAATCACTTCCTTCACCAAGAGCTCAGTCAAGGACTGTAATGTTCTCAGACATTGTGCCTCCTGAAGATATTCTTTACCAATCATGTACAGATCGGTTGGAGAAACAGATGAGCAGAAGAGCAATGTGGGAGCCTCAGTCTTCAGAGAGAATATTAAAGACCAATGGAAAATCTACAAAGTCAAAGAGAGACTTGCAAAATCATCCATCATATGGGCTGCTCATATGAGGTTTAACGGAAGCAGAAAAGGAAGCAAAGATGGGATTTCAAAGTTAACAATATTAACAGAAAGTACTTTCTCCATTTTTTTTTTCCTTTCTATACAAATGATCAGATGTTAGTGGGGGGATTAGTGAATACAACCCTCGAATCTTGGCTTCTGATATTCTGAGTGGACCTCAGCATCTGTTACCAGTGGAAACGTCAGCACTGGCAGACTACAGTGGTGGTTAATGAGCTACATTACACGGTGCTAGTTAATTGCACAAGGTGTTGGCCCACTGTTGAATCCATTCTCCCTCCAGAGTATCCTAGGATTTTTGGCTCATGGGAGATACCTACATTGGGTTTGACAGAAAAGGGAGTTACCCTGGCCTTGACCTTGACTGGACTTTCCTGCTTTGATCTTTCCTTACCGCTACCCCCACTGGCACTTCCTATCTCTGTCTGTTGCACCCTTGTGTGGATGGACCAAGGCTGATCAATTCCAGCAAAGGCAACTACCTAGATTTTTTTTTCTGGCCTCACCTTTACCCAGTGAGCAACACGATGAATTCCTCTGAAACAAATCTCTCTCCTTCCCCACCTCTACCTCCAATCTCCTCAAATACCTCAAATTCTCCTCCATACCTCAAATTCATACCTCCTCACTTCTCCTCCTCCATACCTCAAATTCTCTCCAGCAGAAGCAAGAAATACTCCTTTTTATTTCTTCAGGTTCATGGCCTTCACACTACTAAGCTTATCCTTTTGAGTCCTGGGTCCAAAGATTATCCCTCTTTTGAATCTTTAATATATGTTTTCTGCATGCCTAACTTCTCAACCTAATGTTCAACTCAAAGAAGCTGAAAAATGAGATCTAGCAGCCCTGCGTCTCCCCCAAACCACCTTCCCCATCTGCTGCCCAACCACGT